TATATATTTGTTTCACTTGTTTTTGCTTTCTAAAAATTGCTATTTGTATGCTTTTCCCCCAGTGAAGTAGGGCCACATGTCAAGTCAATAAAAACCCAATAGAAATGTCCTCTCCAATATGGAGTTTGACCAATGTTTGGCTTCCCAACCTGCTTGATATGGCTGAAAACACTCAGAGGGCAATTTGAGTTCTTCCAGTTGATTTTCTCTCCTTGCTTTAAGACCAATTGTTGTGCTCACCAATACCAGTACTACAGGAAATGCAAAATTTCCATCTCAAAGGCAGGCTTCCATGTGTCCAGCCCAATATTACATAAAATATTCTGAATTTTTAAAATGTAAAGAGTCCTTGCAAAGAAAGCAGAGAGAGATCAAGGATGTGAAATAGAGCAATGACAGAGAGAGGAAGTCATTAACAGACCCAGGACAACACATCCTCTGTCTCCATAGCCCTCTCCTAATGTCTGCTTCTGTCTAACCTATAACATTCAGACATGTCACTTTTTTTAAAAAGAAATGAAGAAATAACCTCCATGTAAAGCCTGTGTCTCCCTGTGTTAGCATTTGAATGTATCCTTCCAAAAAGACATGTTGAAGTTCTACCCTTGGTATTTGTGAAGGTGACGTTGCTTGGACATAATCTTTGCCAGTGCAGTCATTTAAGCTAACATAAGATTATATTGAGGCTGTTGACTATAACTCATAGTAACCCTATGAATAATATCTCTGAACCTTGCCCTATTCTGAGCCAACTTCACACCATCTTTAAACCCCTGTACTCATTGCCACAGCCACTGTGTCAATCCATCTCAGCCATGGTCTTCCTCTCCTGTGATGACCCTCCATTCTTCCAAACATCAAGTCCTTCATCGAGGGACTTCAGTCTATCCTGGCAACATGTCCAAAGTATGTGAGACGGAGCTTCAAAATCCTTTCAAAATCCTTGCCTCCAAGGAACAAACTGATTTCACCCTCTCTAGGACAGACCTACTTATTCTCTTCGCAGTCCACGGTATGTTTAATACTCTTTTCCAGCACCACAACTCAAAAGTAGGGTGGGTACTAATCCTAACTTTGTGGTTTTATGAAAAAAGAAGAGGGCCTTGTGAAAATGCAACTCTATGATAAGAATGCCTGGGGCCACCATTAGCTGGAAGAAAGTCTTTCCCTAAAGCCTTTGGTGGGAGTATGGTCCTGCAGATAATCTGAAATTGGGCTCAGGTTTTGAGACAATTCTTGGTTCTTAGAAGGCACCCACTTGCTGATACTATGCTATAGCAGCCCTAGAAAATGAATATGCCC